GTGATGTTGCAAGACCAGAGAGTCCCAGATTTCGAAGTTTTAACCTGTAGTAGCAACACAGTGGTTTTGTCAAAACAGCTTATTTCATTCAGGAAATTGATATAAGCTATACCAGCAAAAATATCATTTTGATGGTGTAAACTCTGTATACACTAGGGCTGTGTCTAGACTGAATCCCTTTTCCATAAAAGGGATGCAAATTAGACACATCGCAATTGCAAATGAAGCGGGGATTGAAATCCCCCCTGCTTCATTTGCATAAAAATGGCTGCCGCTTTTTTCCGGCTCGGAGCTTTGCCGGAAAAAAGCACCAGTCTAGAGCGGATCTTTCGGAAAATAAAGCCTTTTCCGAAAGATCCCTCATTCCTTATTTTAAGACGAATAAGGGATCTCTCGGAAAAGGCTTTATTTTCCGAAAGATCCGCGTCTAGACTGGCGCTTTTTCCGGCAAAGCTCCGAGCCGGAAAAAAGCGGCAGCCATTTTTATGCAAATAAAGCGGGGGAGATTTAAATCCCCCCTTCATTTGCAATTGCGATGTGTCTAATTTGCATCCCTTTTACGGAAAAGGGATGCAGTCTAGAGACAGCCTAGGAGATTTTGTTAGTATAGCTTTGCCACAAACCTTTTCTAGTATAGACTAGGCCAGAGATACTGAAGAATCTAACTATTGAACAGTAGAGCAGATTGACAGAAAGATATCTGGCTTGTGTCTTATGAGAAGAATTTTTGGCAGAGTACCAGCATATCTGAGGTGGTAGTTAGGCTTAATTTTAGTGGGAATTAATAAAAAGCTAATCCTAATTAATTTGCAGCAATATGGCCCAACCTATTACTTTTAATTGTTAAGCACGTGCTCTGGAGTAAATCACTGAAGAAGTATTTCACTAGGACCCATTTTGACTTTGATCCTGCAATGTTATGTGTACAGAAATACCATTAAACCCACATAGAATCCCGCATTGGAATTCAATCTGCACAGATCACACTGCAGGACTGTGGCCTAGGAAAATATTTTACAATGTTACGAAGATAGAAACAACTTCAGTATTCATATTTTAGAAGTAAAACCATTCCCATGTATATTTGAGAGTTTACCTGTTCTGAGAGGGTCTAAGAAGAAGAAGAACTTTCTAACAGCAGTGCAGACATAGAATGAGTAAAATGATTTTTCTAAACCATCCAACTGTGGTAAAGTAGGGATAAGTTCCAAAATATAATTTTCTAAATCCTGGAAAATTAAAAAGAAAATATGGTTTGAAATGATAAACATCGCCATTGTGCAATTTAAATTGTTTATTCTTCTGCCTTGCAAATTTTATTTGTTGAAAATATTATCCTGTGGCAATATTCTTGTAAATGCTTGATTTTATTTAATTACCTAAATCCTCTTCTTTTTGTCCAATTTTTAAAACTCAGTTTGAACAATAATGATGTCTTCCTCTATAAATTTCAGAAATTTACTGCACCTAGTAAATTAGATAGTATTTTGAATAATTAGAGACTAATTAATACTTCTATTCAGATGGATTATACCACTGCCAGTAAAAGTGACAGGAGAAGAAGAGCATGTTATAACAGCAGTTTTTTTGGTGTCAAAATTAAGAGACACCAGGAGCAACAAGATGAATAAAGATTGCTAAGACAATGCTCCCTCATATGATGAAACACAGATTTCTGTATACCGTATATGCCGGCGTACAAGACGACCTCTGAAGTTAAAAAACATCCCCCAAAAATCGGGGGTCGTCTTGTACGCCGGATGCCCCGCCGCCGGAGTCCCTCCGCGGCTTTGAAAGCCTTGGGGGAAGCCGGCGGGGGGGCATCCCAGGCGCGCATGGGCTGCCCCCCTGCCGGAGCCCCTCCGTGGCTTTGAAAGCCTCGGGGGAAGCCGGAATATACGGTATTTAGCCATTTCATTTGCTATAATTTTTTTAACTGAATATGGTAATGGTTCAATTTGCAGTACCTGCTTACTAGAGAAGGGGAGGGGAAGGACAAAACTGGCTTTTTTGCTTCTCTGTAAAAGGAGGGAGTTTGGAAAGGATGAAAAATGGCCACCATCTGAACTTTGCTTTTCCGAAGCCATTGAAAGAGTTCTAATGGGAGTGGAGAATTCTACCTAGGGATGTTAAATATTGGTTAATTGATTAATCGGTTAACCTCATGAATTCTTAGTGGTTACTCGACTAATTCTATAGTCCCCGGGTGTGGAGCCGACTGTCAGTGCACTCTGGCCCCACTCCTGAGGAGCAGGGAGGCAGCAGCGCAGGGTTACAGGCTGGTCCGCGAGGGGAGCCAGTTTAAAAAACATCTCCCCTCACAGACTGGCTGCCTGTTGCTCTGTGCTGTTGCCTCTGATGTAGAGGCAACAGGGCTGAATGG